GGGTTTTAGGGTTTTTGGGGTGTAGGGTTTAGGGACATCCATAACACAAAATCCCCAGAATGCAGACTTTTTTTTTCTGAAATCCTTCGAACCCTTACTGCAACCCAGAATTCCGGGAGGATCTACAAAGTAGAACCCTTCATTTTGGACCCTGTTCTACTAAAGGCTCTTTATAGGAACCCCCATTAAGGGATCTACTTTTTGGATCCTCCCGCGGGTCTGGGAAGGGATCCCTTCTTGCGATGCCCGAAGACTTCTCTGAGATTCTCAGGTCACTTTGCCCCTAAACCCAAATCCCCAAACCCTAAACCCTAAAGGTCACTTTGCGCCGCCTACTGCCGAGAAAGTGCTCAAAAGCCGCAACGCCGCACTCAGCTTGAAGGAAGCCGGACCCTGGGACGCTTTTGGGGTTTAGGGTGCGTGGGACGGTTTAGGGCTTTTAGGGTGTTAGGGCTTTCAGGGTTTAGGGTTTAGGGCTTAGGGCTTTTAGGGTTTAATGGTATCTGCTAACTTGTAGATGTGATTGAAGCACGCTCTTTAAAAAGCAAAGAAGAGCCCAGGATTCAATGTGAAATTCTTCATCCGAAGTGGCTCGCAGTTCATCCCCAAAGAGGACGCAGCTGGCCTGTGATGACCAAGTCAGCGATGGCATGGTGCACATGTCGCAGGGACGGATTGTGTCACACTGCAGCAGGCCAGAAAAGGGCTCATGGTTTTGTATGAGGTACTAATCAAGGTTTAGGGGTTGCTATGTAAGGTTTGAGGGTTAGGGTTATATTGCTTTGGGGACTAATTAGGGTTATGGGTTACACCTTAATGACAGGTCGGAAGCTACTCGTTCGCTGGGTTTGGGCACGCTTGTGCGGTACAGGTTTCATGCTTGCCGAGCCCTGAGCAGTGGCTTACATCGTATGTACCCAGACCCCCGGGAGGATCCAAAAAGTAGATCCCTTAATGGGGGTTCCTACAAAGAGCCTTTAGTAGCACAGGGTCCAAAATGAGGGGTTCTACTTTCTAGATCCTCCCGGGGGTCTGGGTAGTAAGTAGAAAGTAGTAGTAAGGAGTGGCACATACTAGTAGCTAGTAGTGGCTAGGTCTTCGGCCAGGAACATTTAGCATGCAGTTGCTGGTGGTAGTACCACCAGGACCATCGCTATCTATGTTGTTAGCAGTTGTGATCTATACCTGATGGTGATGAGGTAGGTCATGTGAAGAGAAGACGATGTTTGCAATTATAATGATGATGATGGTGCTGATGATGATGATGACAATGACGATGGTGCTGGTGAGCATCAGCAGCAACACCAGCAACTGCACCAGCGTCGGCAAAACTAGCATTGCTTTCATATCTTCTGGATTCACGCCATCACAATGGCTAATGGTCATCGTTGCTGGCCATCGTGATCCCAATTCCCCCCCCCGCTAGTTTTTCCTCGCCCAGCATTACCACGATGATGACACTGGTTTAGCGGCCTTGTTAGCACATGTCAGCTGCACTCGTGAGGCAGACTCCTGATCAAGACGTAAACGCTACAGAGTGCAGACCTGCAGCAATGGAAAGTTAATCACAGTAAAATCACTAGGAGTACTCTGTCGCGATTGCAATTATCATAGGAAGTACGCCGTTGCTCTTACAATTATACGGGCTCCAATTGTTGCCCGCTGTTTCGCCGTGATTATATCTTCATTTTCGGGGCCTGAAACTGTGCGTCCTTGGAACCGCTGGATGGTGCCATGTTAATTCTGCGGTCACGGTTTTGCGGGCTATGGCAGAACTTTGTACTACTATACAGGGACTGCATGTTATTTCGCGATTTCTTCTGGGGTTGGGATTCCCATGGCTCTGTCAACACCAGGTCCCAGGTAAACCCTAAACCCTAAGCCGTTTAATATAGTTTCAGCCTTACCCGATCAGAGCTTCCTGTCTCCAAACGCAATAGCACACAGCGCAAGCATCATGATCATCACAGCTATCGTAAGCACCGTCACTTGAAATGCCGTGAAGTTGCATTCCTGTTAGCAATAGTATTGCTGCGCTTACTATTTCAGCTATAGCATTGGTCTCCTGCGGTGCCATCACTGTTACAAATGTGTTCTTGTTGAGTATTCCAACTACGAAACTACTCCCAATCATCCACCAGTGCTCGAGCTAGAGCGAATGCCGCTTAGCTGTATTTCTTGAATGCTTTCCTCGCAGAGATTCTGCCTAATCTCAGGTGCCCAAAACCCTAAACCTTTAGCCTTAACTGAAAAAAAGAGCCGTAGACCAATCCTGAGAATGAAGCAGTGGTCCGCGACCAGAAACCCTCGATCGAAAGTTTATTAAATCCCAAAACCCCAAGCACTGAAGCCTTCAAGCCCAAGCAACAACAAATCTAAGCCGCCAGAGCAGAGCCTGATCCCCTAAACCACAGCCTACACCCTAAACCCTAAACCCTAAACCCCAAACCCTAAACCCTAAACCCTAAACCCTAAAGCCCTAAACCCTAAACCAAAGCCTACACCCGAAACCCCTTTGGCCTTCGTTTCTTCTTTGCCGCCTCGGGCTCAGCATAGCACCCTGCGAGGAAGGGAATGCTGTCGTGAATTATGAGAGCTGAATTCAGGCTTTATATGACCCCATATATATATATATATAAGGCCAAACTTGAATCCAGGGTGTAGGGTTTATGTTAAGGGCCGTGGGTGTGGAGTTTTGGGATAGGGTTCGGTTGTTGATTAGGATTCATGTTAGCGGGTCTAAGGTTAGGGTTTCAGGTTTGGTGGGCTTAAAACTCAAAATATTCATAGGCATTTGTGTATTGCAAAGTGTTTATCGACTTGGCCACAGTGCTCCTTTCGCGCGCATCCTTGTGCAAAGCAGACCCCCCACCCCCAAACCCTCCAGTGAGTCAGGCTCTTCGCGTGACTTCGGGGGTTCTGCGTAGTAGACGTAGCTCTCAACTTGGTTGTTGATAGCTCCCAGAAAGGAGGCCTAGAGCAAGTTTCTGCAAAGAGCACACGACATGACCATGACCCGGCGTGGCCTCTAAATGCAGCCGGGATGCCATGGCCTTTAAGGCGTTGTCCCAAGGTTTTCTGTTTGGCCTTTCTTCTGCGACCGACTCGCCTCCTGGGGCTTTCTGATGAGCTTGCATTGGGAGTTGTAGGTGGCTGGACAGCCTACAGTGAGCCGGAGGAGATGGTCGCCGTCATTGCAGCCTTCTTGGATTACCAAAAGAATTTCGATGCAGCTTTGCAGGTCAGGTTTGGCCCGCCAATCATAGAGATCCCTGGAGGCGTCCATGAAAATGCCTCCATCGAGCTGCGCATCGGAACCACGCATTTGCAACCGGATGTCGGGCTTGCCTCGGCGCTAGACATAATGTTAGGTCTCGATGGAGCACTACCGGTGGTTGGGCTGGTGGGGGCGCAGCTCTCCTCCGTTAGCATGCCCATCGCTACGCTGGCAGGCGTGAGGGGAGTCCCTCAGGTGTCCATGTCCTCCACGAACCAGCTCTTGTCCAACAAGGACTCCTTCCCTTACTTCTTGCGCACCATCCCACCGGATAGTATCCAGGCGGCTGCTTTGTGGACATAACCCTAAACCCTAAACCCTAAACCCTAAACCCTAAACCCTTATCCAGGCTGCTGCTTTGTGGACATGGGTCTTACACTTCGACATTGCTCTGGCGACCTGCCTCTATTCCGCAGAAGTCTACGGACAAGGTGGGAGCTAACATCGACAGTGAGGTCCTTTCAAAGCACCCCCCCCTACTTTTCAGGAACCCGTGTAACAACTTTGCACCTAAACCCTACACCCTAAACCCTACGCCCTAAGCCCTAAGCCCTAAACCCTAAACCCGAAACCCTAAACCCTAAACTTGTAATACCCTTAAATGAAACCTGCAGGGAGCTACACTACGGGTCGAAATAAGTGGTACTGATATCTCGATCTACAAGTGAATGGACTCCCAAACGCCCTAGTCTAATTGTTAAGACCCCTAAACCCTAAACCCTAAACCCAAACCCCAAATCCCTAAGCCCGCAACCTCAAGCCCTCAACCCTAAAGATCCCTATATTACCCTTCGGTTAAGGCCCTAAACCCGAAACCCTATACAGCCTCAGCCGTCCCTCCTGCTTGCAGGGGCTGCCCCTCCCCTCCACAGCAAGGGGGCCTGGGAGCCTCCTGCGAGCAGATTTCAGGGGCCTAGAGGGCTCCAGGCCGGTCCAAGAAGAACTTGGCCAGAATTCGGCTTACAAAGCCTGCCCTTCCCCTCCATGGCAAGGGGGCCTGGGAGCCTCTCGCGAGCAGATTTCAGGAGTGTCGGGGGCTCCAACTTGGCCAGAATTCGGCGGTTTTTAGTCAAGGCCCCCTCCCCTTCACGGCAGGGGGGCTTGGGAGCCTCCCGCGAGCAGGTTTCAGGGAAGGGGAACTTCCACTCGGGTTAGACTGGGGCCGTCAGGCCTCAAGCCGGTCCCAAAAAGACTTGACCGCCTTGGCCCTTCTTGGCCAGACGAGCCGGGGCTACGTCCAACAAGCCACTCCGATAGAAAAATCAATGACAGGGCCCTTCGGCCCAGAACTTGTCAAGCATTGCGGCCCCCCAATCCGTCACGCTCTGAGGCGACTTCATGTGGAAAACGCACGATTTAGTGCGAGTCCAGGGCACTGCCTCAATAGTTTGCAAGTGGGCCAGGAGCCAC